TTATATTTTGGAATGTAAGATTCTTCTTCTTTCGTGTAACGTCAGAGGTCCAACTCGGTGTTGTGTAGCCATGCCCGCATCTCTGGTCTTACGTCGAAGGGGCTGGCTTCCGAGGGTGGTCTATATAAAGGGCAGGTGGTTATTAGCACTCGCATGCAGCACTGTCTGCCAGGCCCCACTTCTTCATTGATGTTTTGAAGCGACCGACCCCAGTTCGTAGACGGTTTAGTGTGATCCGTTGCCGGCGTGGTAGGTCGTCTCCTCCTATGGCGCCATCTCCTGGGTCCCATATGTAGCGATGGATGCGGGAGGGCCCGGCTAGCTGAAGAATAAGCTAGAATGTAAGATATTGCAGTTAGTCAGTTTTTAACATATTGATTTGTAGTGAATAAATCAATGATGTCTGTAACAAGACTAAGGCTTTGTATTGGATCCCAATATCATCATGTAACATGCTCACATTGAAGATGTTGCTTTGTGATGTAGCAGGTAAAACTGAGGAATTGGTTTTGCTAATTTTTACCTTTTTACAATCATTACCAATAATCCACTGGGCACAATGAATGTTTTTACTGCAATCAATCCTACAATCTTTCAATACAATCCACAGATGTCAAACTCATGTTGGTGCTACAGTGAAAGACAGGGGATCACCAAAGTCAGAAGGCTCATCCTCTGGGGACCATGAATATATCTAGCCAATTGAATGATAATCCATTTAACAGTTGATGAGATATTTTCTATGTGGCCAACGATGGTGGAGTAACCTGAGAGTTCCTACTCACTCCATCTCAAATGCTGCATTATCTCCAAACACCTTGAGCCGCATAACCTGAGCGTTTTGAAGAAAAGCTCTGAGAATGACTATTATTAGAGAGGATAAAAGAAGTTAGTATAATAGTGGGCGTTTGAATCCACAGTGCAATCATCTTTCTGCCAAACACTGAAATGAAACTTGCGGGTATTGGCAGTGAAAATGGAGGTGAGTAAATAATGACATTAAATTGGTTTCCGGTGAGTTATCCCTTTTAAAGCTATAACTCCTCACGTGACAGGTCAGCTCTCATTTACGTCATTGCATCTCTTCCCAGAACTCTTGTGAAGTAAAGTGGAGGGAGGATTTATTATTTATTGGGCTTGTCTTAAATTTAAAAATGTATTTTGTTTAATAATAAATACTTACTGTTGGGAGTTGCATTTAAAATGACATCCAAATAAGATGCTTCCCTGCATTACAAGTTATTTTATGATCTTGCAGACCTATAAATTAGAAAGGCAAATCAACTGCATATTCGAGGAAAATTACAACCTAATAAATGTTAATGTAATTTGTTTCCTCCCTTCATTTGGGAATATTCTTAACTCAGGGCTCCGACGGGCCGCTTTTGATTTTAGACACAAAGTCAACCCATGTCCAGAAGTCATGCGTTGTTGAATCTGATTGACTCTGCACGTCACATTTGCTCGGCGGATCATAAATCATACGGTTTGATAGCAGCAAAATGATCTAAATGTCTGGTCCGTTATTTGCTTGACAGTTTAGCCCTGAGCCTGTTTTTAAGTCTCAGGCTCAAAAATGACATTCCCAGAACAAATGACCATATCTTCCCTTCTAAAAGGGGAAAATTAATAATCTTTTTCCTCAAAGTAATGATAAACCTGTGAGTTGGATGTAGAAGAGTCAGAATCAATATAGATGTTTTTTATTTTAAAGAAAATTCAGATTGAACATAGTAAAAAACTCTAAATTATAGTGTCCGTCCAAAAATTATTTTTTACTTATAGTGAAGACCAGGGCCGGACTGGGACAATAAGTCAGGCCGGGAATTATACACCCAGCCAGGCCACTACCAGTTTTCTTTTGTGCCATTTTCCTGGATTTATTTGTCAATATTTACAGCGTTACTACTCCAGAATAAACATATGGACATGGGTTACTCTTGAAAAAAAAATTGCAAATCTATTTAGGAACCTATCCATGCGAACATATTTTAAGTGGAGGTGGACCTCAAATCCTCTAGAGGGGTCCGGGGGCATGCTCCCCCGGTAAGATTATTTTTTTTTGAATGTTGGACTTAAATGCATCAATCTGGTGCATTTTGAGGGGGAAATAAAGAGACTACACCCATATGAAACAGAACTGTATACATTTAAATAATCATAAAATCATAAGAACATGGCCATAACCAATAACACATATCCAATA